AAAAAAATGTGGTGAAAAATGCTCCACTATTTTGTTGATTGCTCATTCTCTTCGTGTTTCTCCAGCCAGCCGGTCATACTGTTGCCGACTTTGCCCAACATTCCTGCAGCAAAACACTCCAAACAACTCTGATCTCTGAACAATGTCCGACCATCTCGGCAAGGATATGCGCAAGGTGAAGGACGACAAGGGCACGGACAAAGAAGAGAAGGACATTGTCCCGCTGGACAATGCGGACATTCAACTGTTGCGCAGCTACGGATCCGGCCCTTATGCGAAGCGCATCAAAGCCGTAGAGGGCAGGATTGCCAGCACACTGAAGAGCATCACCGGGCTGATGGGCGTCAAGGTAAACCTTGTATCAGGGTGGCTTCGTAATCATCATTGTCTCGAATTTCTAAATTCCCCCCCCCCTCGGCCAGGACTCTGACACTGGTCTCGCCCAGCACAGTCTCTGGGACCTGGTGGCGGACAAGCACGTGATCACCAATGAGCATCCGCTGCTGGTCGCCCGCTGCACCAAGATCATCAAGGCCAGTGAGAGGCCTCCCGCAGATGAGTGGATCGACGCTGGAAGCGCCCCCAGCCTTTTCCACGATGGCTCTGAGTCGGCTCCCGAGGACATGTACATGATCAACGTCCGCCAGTACGCCAAGTTTGTGGTTAATCTCGATGACAATGTCGCCCCGACGGACATTGAGGAGGGCATGCGTGTGGGCGTGGATCGGGTTAAGTACACAATCAAGCTGCCTCTGCCGCCAAAGATTGACCCAACCGTGTCGATGATGCAGGTTTGTTTTGTTTTGCAATGTCTTTGAGTTGAGTAGTCAACAAGTAGGAACAACTTTTCTTCTAGGTTGAAGAGAAGCCCGATGTCACTTACTCCGACGTGGGCGGCTGCAAGGAGCAGATTGAAAAGCTGCGAGAGGTGGTCGAAGCGCCGCTCCTGGAGCCGGAGCGTTTCGTCAAGCTGGGCATCGACCCGCCTAAGGGCGTTCTGCTGTACGGCCCGCCGGGCACTGGAAAGACACTGTGCGCCCGTGCCTGCGCCAATCGCACCGACGCCTGCTTCATTCGCGTTATTGGCTCAGAGCTGGTGCAGAAGTACGTCGGAGAGGTCGGTCATCGTTTACTTCGTTTTGCTAAAACTTTTTACTCAAATCGAACCTCTTTTTTCCTCTCCTATAGGGAGCCCGCATGGTCCGTGAGCTCTTTCAGATGGCCCGCTCAAAGAAGGCGTGCATCATCTTCTTTGACGAGATTGACGCCATCGGCGGGGCACGCTTCGACGACGGCGCCGGCGGCGACAATGAGGTGCAGCGCACCATGCTCGAGCTGATCAACCAGCTGGACGGCTTCGACTCGCGTGGCAACATCAAGGTGCTCATGGCCACCAATCGACCGGACACACTGGACCCGGCACTAATGCGCCCCGGGCGGCTGGATCGGAAAATCGAGTTCAGCCTGCCCGACCTGGAGGGACGAACGCACATCTTCAAGATTCACGGCCGCTCGATGAGCGTCGAGCGGGACATTCGCTTTGAGTTGCTGGGCCGCCTCTGTCCGAACTCAACCGGGGCGGACATTCGCTCGGTGTGCACCGAGGCGGGCATGTTCGCCATTCGCGCCCGCCGCAAGCTGGCCACTGAGAAGGACTTTCTCAACGCCATTCAGAAGGTGATCAAGCAGTACGCCAAGTTTAGCGCCACTGCCCGCTACATGATGCACAACTAACTTACTTACTGGAAGTGGTCATTCGGAAGAGTGAACAGTGTCTCGCCAGCGCAATTATTTCAATCTTTCTCTAAATTCCTTATCAAACACAAATACTTATTTTTTAATTACAATGTAAAAAGATGAATAAACAGTTTCAATAAGACACACTTTCACTCTTCAACAATGGGCAGGGTGTCTTCCGGCGGTGCACCTCGTCCCTTGTACTTCTTGACGCCGAAGTAGATGATCAGCGTGAGGGCGAC